ATCAGCCGATAGCCCTGTTATTCAAGTGCAGAAAAAGCTTGACTTTTATGTGGAGGAATCTGTAGTGGATTATTTAGCCTTAATGGATGGTTTGACAGAGGCTATGCAGAACAAGATTTGCCGTGTATATGCTTTACTGATTCAACATTGCTATATGATCAGGTCTGTGAAGATTAGCACTTTGGCATCTTTCTTGTGTTCTTTGATATCATCTCTATAGTAACCCAAATACTTTCATGTTATACCTTAAACTATCTTTACTGGCATGATTTTTTTTTGACAGATTACATGCGAGGAGAAACTTGATAATCCACTTTTGATGGCTCTAAGGGAAAGAATCATGGAACATTCCCGTAATTTGGAAGAGTTTGTTCTGAAACTTGTTCCAAGCAACAATCTTTTGAGGCCATTGCAGCTAGCACAAGTAGCAATAGGAGTTGTTTCTTCTCCTGTAAGGGCGATGAATCACTTCAAAATTGTGCCATTTGCTGTGAGGACAAGCCCTCTTTGATGATGATTACCATGAAGTGTTCCCACAGATTCTGTTCCCAATGTATGAGAACTTATGTTGATGGTAAACTGCAGTCATCCCAAGTCCAATCAGGTGCCCCCAGTTAAGATGCAAATATTACATCTCCATCGCTGAGTGTAGATCTTTTCTTCCGCTTGCTTCCTACGAGTCTTAGAAAGGGCCCAAGCAGAAGCAAATGTTCTTCACTTAGATGGAATATACTGTCCTTATCCAAATTGTTCTGTCTGCTGATCCTCGTGAATGCTTCTCAACTAGGGCAAGTTCATCTAGTAAATCAGATAATGCTGTGTTGAGTGCCCTGTTTGTCAGAGGTTATATGTGTGGAATGTGAAGTTCCATGGCATTCATCAATGAGTTGTGAAATGTATCAGAACCTCCCTCTTGAGGAAAGAGATGCTGCAGACATCACCTTGCATCGCTTGGCACAAACAAGAGGTGGAGGCGCTGCCAGCGGTGCCGTAGGATGATTGAACTTGCTCAAGGCTGCTATCACATGACATGCTGGTAAGTCCATCTTCTTAATTGTACTTTGGTTATTAAAGTTGATATTTTGGTTGCTACTTGGGAACAATTTTAATCGCAGTACCTGAATCTGGTCACAGGTCATGCAGCTTGTGCAAATTTGGAATTTTGGTTTTTGTTTGTGCAACAGCAATGATCTTAATCGTATGCTCACCTCGCTTTGATTAGACTATTTTATGGGAACTTGGTTGGAACTCTGACACGACCTTTAGGCTCGGAAAGGTCTCGATATTTGGATTAAAACTTTGTTGTGTATTTTGGGCTATTCTTGTCCCATGGTACACCAAGTCATCCAAGAGCTTACTTGGTTTCCTTTGATCAAACAGTTAGATATGCTTGTGTCTAGCTCATGTTTGTCCATGTGTAACTTAGTGTATTTGTGTGTTTTGTTTACACATGTACGATTTAGGCGTATGTGACTTCATTTTTTTTTTGTTTTTGTCTCCTTTCAGGTGTGGGCACGAGTTCTGTTATCTTGGTGCTGAGTACATGGACGGTCGGCAGACCTGTCAATGCGCCTTTTGGGATGAAGACAACTCTGAAGGGTTGGTCACCCCATTCTGTGCAGGAGTCTGAACAATGGGCTTGGGAGACTTTCAATTCACTCCCTATGATCATGGATGCATACTCAGACCAAGAAAGATCACAGCTGGCACTAATTCAAAGGTTCCTGCTGGGGGTTTCAGTCTTAGTGACCATCATCCATATCAGTCCCACCCCGCTGTACAGATTCCTATGTGATGCCATGAAGGACCTCCGTCAGCTCCCTTGGCTCGAGAGATTGTCTCTGTGATAAGTGACAACTACTATGAAGACTACATCCAATGAAGCTAGTGTAGATGATTACAATGTTAGGTAATAAGTTGGTTTCAGTTAAACAAGGTTTACAAGAGGCAAGGAGTTCCTCACTTATTGGCTCTGTTTTTTTAACACAAATTCTTGAGATTAGTCCCTCCCAACTCTTATGCGGTTCTTGGTAGTCATAACAACATGTTGGAGGCCTTTGCATAAGAGCGGGGTGAAGATTATGTGCATGATAGTTTCTTTCTTCTTGAAAGAAAAAGAAAGAATAGGGTTAAAACTTAATGATGTCATCAAATTGAAAGAAGTTTAATGAAACAAAGTCCCCTTATCATTTTGCTTCGTGTTCAAGAGATGGAAATGTTAATTGTCACATGAATTGCCATTGTGGTTTTAGCAGGACTTCATTTCAATTTCTTAAATCTAAGTGCCAAGCTTAGCGTCACTGGCTTATAGGCTACAATGTGGTTGAACTTTAGAGTTCCCAACACCCCTTATAGTCTACATTGTGGCTGTGTGATCGAACCATCATTGCTGCTGCTGATCATTTTAGTTGAACTAGCTTAGGGTTATTAATAACAGAACAATTGTGGGTCCTCCTGGTCTCATTTAGCAAACAAACCAAGTAGCTGTGATGTATATAATACAGTTTTGTATTCTATCGCTCATGCATATATATTTAAAAGCATTCACCAAACTTCACATGGAAAATTCGCGGTTCCATGTTGCTCAAAAGTCAAACTCTCACCGGCCACCCATATTAAAAGATTAAAATTGTTTCTTCACTTGTTCTATTACAGCCATTCATGTATGCCTTCTTTTGGATATGTTTTAATGGCCGCCAAACTACATTTACAAACCGATATTACTGTATGTTGGCAGCTCAAAAATGAGTGTTATTTAAGACGATAATCCAGTCTAGTTAAAACTTTTGAAACCCTTTATTTCCATGTCTTCAAGCCTAATTTTATCTCTATACTTTGATTTCGCATTGCATTGAAACATCGACTGCTATTCGGCAAATGGTGGGGAAAAAACCCTATTCATGTTTCTGTATCGATACTATTGCTATTAAAAATGACAGACGATGGCAAGAAAGCGTTGTAAAGAGGCAAGTATCCAGCAACAGTCTAATACGGGCGGGCTTTAATCATTATTCGTAAGTGTTTATTGAACCCTAGAACATCACCCCCGCGGCCAATGAGAAAGCAAACGAAAATACAATTCTTTGATTGTAGTGTAGGCAAAGTGTGCTCATTCACTTTACCTTTCCACTCCATTGCTATCCTTGAATGGCGGAAACAAGAAGGTGGAATAATGAGTAAGCAAGTTATCACCAAAATCTTCATAAATCACGTTTAATTCAAGACAAGATTTTTTTTTGACAAAGCATGAGTATACAAGATTAGTTTGCAGTAATCTTACAACAGGAGTTGGTGAATCTTTTTATTTGTCAATAGAAACCAGGAGCAGGTAACCAAATAAAGTTTTATGAAGGATATTTAGCAAAACATATAAACAAATGTATGGGTTATGGCTTAAAGATTAATACTTTCTCTATGAACAAGAAGATACATTAAACAATGACAAAAAATGATAACTGTGCCTGTTTCACTATTCAACTGTATCTCTGTATTCTCTGCTTCTGATTTCTGTACGGTATATATATCATTTAAACCATTTAACCAGCAGGATGAATTGGTTTTAAATGATGTAACATACAGTGAAAAATTACCTGCATCACGTTGTGGTAGTGCAGCAGAAAATTGTATGCGACGAACTTCAACATGAGATGGCATTAGAACCATAACTAATTGCCTGGAGACTTGAATCAGACTTTCTGTACGTATATATATCATTTAAACCATTAACCAGCAGATGAATTGGTTTTAAAATGATGTAACATACAGTGAAAAATTACCTGCACGTTGTGGTAGTGCAGCAGAAATTGTATGCGACGAACTTCAACATGAGATGGCTTAGAACCATAACTAATTGCCTGGAGACTTGAATCAGACATATTAGTCATCCATTCTGTGGCCTTTTGATTCCCCGGTATATTGTATGCATATGAAGGCCATCTAACATTGATGCCACATGAGTTTTTGATGCCATTGTCATCATCTTTTGTGTTCTCTCAAGAACTATGAGGCTAAAACGTGGAAAAACTGTTGCCAACAAAATATCAGCCCTTGCGCACACCTCATAGTCGATTGCCGACTGAATCAGATATGGATTCTTGTAAATCCCATCAACCTTAATGTCTTCTTCTCAAAAGGAAGAAACCCTTTCTTCCAACCACTCAATATCGAAGAATCATTAAGGAGGCTATCAGCAACAGCAAGACAACAGTGGGATATTCTGAGCTGACAATGTTCCCTACTCTTCTATGATCTCTTGCTTGCTACTACAAATTTTGTTATGCCTGATCGTTTCTCTAACTTCTTACAGTGATCATCCAGTTTTCTACCCTCAAATGGACTGCAATGTAAGGAGCTGCGGCCATTGAGGAACCTCTGTTTCGACATCAGAATCGCTTTGTACCGAGTCGATTTGCTCCTAAGCTTTCTTCCTATGCTTAATCTTGGACAACTTTATCTGCATCTTTTGATATCTCATCAACCAAAACCAAGCACTCAAAGACCCTCGCATAGTCCTTAACAGGCCAATGATCATGCCAAAGAAATGGGTTCTTTCCCACAATTCTAATCACTTCATGCTCACAACATGACCTCTGCTGCTTTGCAGTAACTGCTCAATATCTCCTTCAACAGTCCACTTTCTTCCACTTCCCTTTGGAGATATATATTCCAGTTTGATTCTTAGATCCGAGTAACGACCCAATCGCACAAAACCGCTACAAGTGAATTAAACTTACCAAACTGGAAGATTTTATCAAAGAAAATAGGCTGCAAGGTCAATTTCCTTGTAGAAAAGTGAGGCACTTAAGCTAGGCATCAGAAGAGTTCGGTTGAGCATTCTAGCAGTTAGACAAGCTCTTGCAAATGCTATCTTCTGGTTTATTTAGTCCCCAAACAATTTGAGGAACCTCAAAACTTGTCACTACGAATCCCTTCATCGTCGGAGCTCGACAACAAAGAGTGATTTAGAATCATGTGGTTGTTCCATTCAATCACAACACGACCAGAGAATGAATAGAGCAAGACAGCTCTGAGAACAGAACCATAGTGACAAGTGCAATAAATTTCCTTGTTCGAGAACTCGGCTGGCAGTCAATTGACCTTGGAAGCTTACTGTTAGAGGACAAGTCCATTTGAAATTCAGAAACTTGCAGCCTTCTCATAACCGAACTCATTGAAATTCAACAACCGATTCAGAACATAAGAACTCCTGGTATCACTATAACCTTGGAAATTGAAGGTATTTAGAGTTGAGAAGACACCAGATACGTCTCTCTTAATCTAGAAGAATCTGCATAATTCAGAAAGAATTTAATTTGTCATTTCAATCCATTCAAGCTTGAGAAACATGTCAAAATTGTATGCAAGATTCATAGGTATAAACAAGCTCAATTCAAAAGTAAAAAACTGGGATGAGAAATGTTAGGAATTTGTAAGCGAGCGAGCAATAAGACGACGAAATTAATATGAAATAAATCGATACATGAGAATGACAATTTTAAACATGGTTCGATCTGAATATTTCTATATGTGATAAAATAAAAATGCACACGTAGTTTCACTATATTTCATAACCCAAACTCTGTATTTCATTGATAGGGTATATTACTAAAACTATATTCCAATATAGCTTAAGATCTATCATATATTCATATATGTTGACAGATGCGGATGAAATTGACTGAAAGTTCTCACCTTGCTTTGAAATCTGCAGAAATCAGAAAACGATGAGCAAAGAAACCTGAATTCTGAGTGAGACCCAGGATGAAAAAGACATCAAATCTTAAACAAAAGTATATGTATTTTTATATCTATGTGATGATCATGAATGGTAGAGAATCCATAAAAGATTGAATTCCCTTGAACCAAAAGCTAGACCCATCACCGTCATGATAACCTCAATGACAACGCGAACAAGTGACTGAGAAAACGTGTCTTTTTTCCAATTATATAAGAAAGAAGGGATTAAGGAAATATAATAATAAATGTTGGAATGCAGTTGGATGACTGTAGCAACAAAAAAGTAAAAAGAAGGATGTGCAAAGGGATCAAACTCAGAAGAGATCAGTCTTTTTGCAGAACAGGGAAAATTGTATGCTTTGGCAAATGCACTTTAACTATAAAAGCCAAAATAAACAACATCACAAGCAAACACTTCAGTCAGTTGTTTTTTAGCCTATTATTATTATGACGTATATAGATAATTTTATAATTTGTAAAATTTACTGAAATGCAATTTTTAGGGGAAGAAATGCAGATTTAAATGCATTACATTGTCTTAGATCTATATCTTAGGAGGTATGGATAATATAAGTATTATAAATTTATTTTAGAAATTAGTCCTCCATTTTCAAGGAGCACAAATTAATTTTCTTTGTGTTATATTTAGTGGGTGGCTTTCATAATGGCCCCGAGTCACGATTTGGTTTAAGAGAGTAAAGTATAATTACAATAGATATAAAGAGACAAAATTAAAATAATTTAAAATTTAAGGTTTAAATAGTATTTACCGTTATATATTTTTAATGATAAAAATTAAGGATTCGGATTTAAACACTATAGAAATCAGGATGTGAGAGTTTAATATCGAGAGGTTATTTTTTTTTTGAAAGAATGTACTTTGTATTATAAACAATGCATTTTCTTAAATAAGCCCGAATTTCTAAGTTTATTCTAAATACTGGGTTTTGAAATGAAGACAATGTGGCGGTGCTATCTGTTGACAGTTGAGACCGGGGAAGGTTTTGTGTACTTGTGGGTATTTTCGTTGGTGCGTGAGTTGAAATGAAGGTAAATTTTGTTTAATCTCAACATGTGGGTTTAAATAGTAAATAAAGTGAAATGGACAGTAGCATTTCAGATCTCGATAAAATGTCTGTTTTTAAATGGTATGCCCACTCAGAGAGTTCAATGTCTTTGGTTTCTAGGGTTTTTATACTTCGTTATTTAAACACGATCTATTATCCATTATTTATGAGAGAGAAACGTTATATATTAAAACCATAGGAAGCAACGGGTTTTGGTTATTCCTTGCTGTGATGTCAAGCTCTGTGGTGTGGACCATTGAGAAATTGGGGATAGCTTTTCAGATGAAAACGATGGGTGCCCCATGTGAGGGCGGGTGTCCATTTTGGGAGGACACTTTGTAGGGTGTTTTCTGGATCAAATGGGAGGTCACTTGTAGGGGTTTTCTGGATCAAAACTGACACATTCCAATCTCACTTTGTTCTATCTGCCTTTTCTTTTTTGGTTTGGTTTATTGAAGTCCTAGGTCTTTGTGTTAGGCAAGGCAGGTGCATTCCTAATGGCTAAAGCTATACACCTAGGCTTCAAAATAAAACTTGGCAATTGCCTAATTCTATGCCCCAAAACTTGGCAAGTTGGAATTAATTGATAAATTTATGTGTATGAAATTCGAATTTAGACGCTTAAAATCTTGGTACCTCGATCTTACATGAGGGTTATGTGCTGACAAATCTACGGATAGGGGAACCCCACGTTCTTGGACGAAGATAAAACACACTTTTAATAAACCTTCGATCCGTACTTGAAGGTGACTATACAAATGGTTGAACACGAAGCTTAATTCAGGCATGAAAGTCTGCATTTTCATCAAATTGAAAACGCTGGCAGATTCTTCCATTTTATGTGTTAGTTGTTGCTCAAAGTGAGGAATGGTGCTTCGGAGAGGACGACATGTAGGTCAATACGCTTACTATTCAACACATGGAATTCAATACCACCTTTTACTTCACCAGGTTTCGCCATTCTCACCTGAGTTCATGCCAATCCACAGCTTATTACGAGGAGCAAAATCACATGCCTATGTTGTAAAAGTCGGAACATTGCAGTCAACGGGGCATCCTCGTCCATTCATTTTTATCATTTTCAGGTGTGGCTGATGTTCTAGACTCAAGTCCGGCCCATTCTTTACCTTCTTTTTATTTTTAAAAAAATAAAACAATTGGTTTTATATTAATATTTAATCATTATTATAATTATAATTATAATTATATAAAGTATATATTTAAATTATTGGACAAAAGAACTGCACTAAATTTCAATCGGATTGGTACTGATAGTTTTCAGTTTTATATTTTTTTTTATCATTAGAATTTTAAATGCAAACAATTCGAAACAAATATGCAATGAAGTTCCATCATATCCAAAGCATGCTTTTTCATTAAGAAAGTTATTTCATTATTATATAACAGATGATTGATGAGCTTAGCGATTAAGTAATTTCGAGGAACCAACATCATTAGTAACAGCGACCGATGGCTTTGATTGATCATCTTCATGGTCGCAGTAGCCTTCAAGAGCGTGGGTCTCTTCTGTTGTAAAGCCTAGTGCATCGATCAAGTTGGGCCAGCATTGATGGCTTACGGTACGAATTGCATGGCAACAGTTTTGTCCAATTTCGGTCTCACCATTCATGAAGAAGATAATAAGCTCTCCGGTGCATGATTGAAGCTGAATCAATGAGCCCCAGCAGTCGGCTGATTCCTCATCCAACTTCAACCGAGCCAGCAGGTCGCTTGTTGCTGTCTTGGGTAGGTCTAATGGCCTTGCCTCAGCCATCAAAAACATGCTCATTGCAAACACAAATGCATAAAAGAAGACCCTGCACGTGGAACCCATTTCTGAGAGATTTCAATAGGTTATTGTCCGGAAATAGATTGTTTATACATATGGAAAAGACCGTGAATTGTTGAGGTTTATATAGGGATGGCAACATTGATGGTGGAAAACTCAGGAATGTTGATAGGAAGAAGCTAACGAGACTCATCAGTTTTGCTTCATCAATTACATGTGCACTACTTTGCAATAAATGATATGAAAACCTTCTGATTTAATTAACGGTTAAAACTTTTATCTGCCTCTTGTCCTTTCAAATCCAATGGGAAAGTTATAATATTGAAACTAATATAATCAAACCCATTGCTGAGTTGGTCTGAGCTAAGATTCATGTACTTGGAATTGGTGGTTGAACTTGGAACTGAAACTATTCATTCGACTGCCTTTCTAACCTTTGCATGTGGCCCGTCACTAGGATACCTTTGAGTTTGAATCAGAAATTATTCGGGGAGTCAGACATGTGAGGTTGGGGCCAACTCGGCAGGCAGAGGTGCGGAAAAGAACCAGAAATTAGATGGGACAGGGTTTGTTCTAGTTGCTGTTGTTGATGCCATTGTATTATTCACTGGGAAAGCCTGCCCATTTTTTTTACCACTAGAGGACACCGCCACAAACTCATGTTGTTGGATTTATGTGTTGTCAAGGGAATTCAAACATCCACTGACTGCCATCCGCGTGTCATGACAGAGGAAGGGATTCTTTATTTTTTTGGTGAGGAATTTTAGATAACAAAGAAGCTTTTGAGGTGAAACAGCTGGACGTTGGAATCATCGTGTCATTTCTTAGCTAATCAGACAAGACTTGTGACCTTCCATGGAAATAGGATGGTGACAACTGATGTACGTTTGTGAAAGTAGGGGAAGTACCCCTAAATCCTAAGCTCCAACAACGAATGTCTGAACAAAAATGAAAACTCACATGGTACATGTCCTTTGTCTTAGGGAATCATATAATTCAGTGGTTTTTACCGTTGTTGTTCAATTGAAATCTTAAAAGTACAATGGAAAAAACAGACCAAACCAAACATTAATGTCTGGTTCAAATTTAGCCGGTAAATTATTATATCCATTTAAGCTCTTATTGTCCTTAACATTTGAATCAACGTCTTCCATAAGGGAAAAAAAATGATGCAGTGATCCATTCATTATTTGGGGGAAATCTTGTTGATTGGATATTTCTCATCTCTCTAAATCACTATATTTTAAACATCAAATGTGCCATATGTTACATCATTTACAGGAACTCTCAAAAGATGAAATGGAATTTGAAAGAACTACATGAATACATGATCACTTATGTCAGGTGGTAACAAAATCCTATGATAGTCAACCCTTTAGAATCAATATATCAGATGAGTTCCTGCATTGCTTTAATTGGTCTGGCCAGTTCTCCTCTGCTTCTGGCTCAGGCTACCGCTTCCTTGCAGTGCTCGGTGAGAGTCAGAAGAAGCTCATGAACCATCCTTGTGGACTATGATTGCCAAGATAATTTATCTATGCCGCACCCAATGATGAAATGATAGAGACGTATTCTATCAAAATTAAAAGATTGAAATGCTGAGTAGGAGGCTCAGTAACAATAAAAATTAAACAGATAGGAAATGTATTGAAATCCCCATTTTCTGCCTGCATATAATATTTATAGATAATGAATTGTTTCATTGGAGTTTATATGAACTATAGCATTCAGTAAAGAATAAGAAATTCTGACGAGGGACTAGCTTTGAAAATGTCAGTACCTGAATTTTTTATGAGCTGCTGCAATGAGAAAGAAACAAGCACCGTTTCCTCAACCGCTCTGTTGTAATTTGAGGATTCAAGTAACTGAGGCACAAGTACTGAGCATGCCATGGACTGAAAATCTTTATCTGGAACTAAATGAAGAAAGTTGCTCATCCAGGCAACAGTTAAGAGGCTTGATCGAGCTAATCTAGGAATGCCCTTGGCCATAGAATTTGAAAGAGCGACCAAGAATCTCTTGTTGCCACTGGTTAGCAAAGCAATTGCTGCTCTTCTCTGCCAACTTTCTATTGCTTCCTTCTCTTCATGCTGGTGATTATAGTTAGGGAACAAACATTGTCAGTGTCTGCCCTTAAGTTTGAAAAATAAAATATCACAATTCACAAGCTTACCAAGATACCATCAACTGTTTCCTTTGTGTGAAATGAGCCCCCTAAGTTTTCATTAAAGCCTGCTTGTTCCAAAAGCCAGTTTCTGTTGTTGCCTCTCCATTGTAAGAAAAACAGCCTCCCAATATCATAAGAGCTCTGGCTGATTGTTCTTGAGTCTTTTCGTTACACTTCTCACAATCTAAAGCATCTACAATGGCCTCAACTGCTTCTTCTCTGTAAACACTGAGCCTCAAAGGATCTCCCTGTAAAAAGACTAATCCATGATTTCTGAATCAAATTATTGCATATTTGATACTTTTTTTGGTATAAAAGGCGTTATTTTTTAATAAGCTAAAGAAAATGAAATATATGATGAATGTTATTTATTTCGGTATTTGAAAAGCATGAGCGCATGCATCTTGGGCCTTTTGCTATATAAGTCTGTGAAATAGCAATGAAATTTAAAGTACCAGAATGTCAAGCTGTAATAAGATGACTGCAACCAAGGGGCGTTCTTCGGGTCGAGACTTCTGCAGATATGCCAATAAGATGTGCATGGTATTCAAGCCACCCCATCCATTCAGCAGATCATTTAAGAATTTGGTTATTTGTTTTCTTCTGCTAAGATAACTTAGGTCATTAGGATATGTCTTTGAACCACTACAACTTGTTAGAAAAGTCATGGTAAATCATAAAAGATTCGGTACCTGTTCAGGCAGAGCAGCTCAGTTAGTAAGGCAATAACAGATCCATTAGAATCCTTACGGTTCCCAACAATAAGTTCTATTAGAGATGCCTTGTTCAATTTATCAGCTAAGTAGTTTCGACAACTCCCATCGGCTCGAATGCAGCAGGATATGATCATGGCAGCTTTGTGCCTCTCAGGAACATCTCCAATCTCAACATTTCTTATTAGAAGGCTCAATCCCCCAAGAGAAACTACTTGACTCGCATTCTCTAAGCTCCTATCTTCATTAAAATCTGTTAATAGTTGGTCTAGGAAGTAAAATGCTGCCACTTGGGGACTACATCTTACTGTAAATAGAGTCTGCAACTGCTCTCCGAACTCTAAAACTCGAAGAACTAGCGGAACCCACTCCGTCGATATCATCTGTTTTGCCTTTGGCTTTAACAAGTAAAGTAGAACGGCAGCTTTTAAAAATAGACTACTATTTCTCAACAGTCTTAAGAAGATCTCAAGCTGTGGATCTGAGTTAAGTATTATCTGCCTATTCACCTCATTCCAGATACAAATTTCTGCTAAAATCGATATTGCTAATTCTAATTTCATCCTCAGTTGAAGCAAACAAAACCTCGAGGATTCCCTCGACAACAGGAGCCTTTGCTACTGCAGCTTCTATGGCAGGATCACCATGTGACTCCAACCATGCTTTGGTCATTCTCGGATCGCGATTTCGCACTCAGTTAGACTATGCGAGGAGCAAATAGTAGCAATGGATTTACTTAGATCACTTGAGAGAAGATGAACATTTTCCTTCCTTCTCATTGAATTATGTGTGACAACATTTTTACCATTTACCGAGCTCTTGGTACGCTCTGGCAGGAAAACAGCCGGAAATGATCTGATTATGTGTGTCTGGCCATACTTCAGTTTTCGGAGTTCGAGGAATCTGGCTTGATGAACTTCTACGTGTCTTCGTCAAGTTCTGTCAAGTTCAGAAACATAAATGATACTCTCCAAGCTAACGGTATCTTGAAAAAATGGAACCGTAGTTTTCAAAAGAGACAGAATTTACCCACATGAACATAATTGCAACCATTGTAGTCTTCTTCATCGGTGCATTCATTTTCTTCTGCCTCAAGGTGACATATGTCGATTGATGCTCTGACCTTTGATTCCAACTCATGTGTCGTGCCAAACACAGTTCGATACCTTTCAAACATTTAGGCAATCAAGAACACAAGTTAGAAGATCAACATAATTAATTATGATTAACTTCATGATTGGTTAAAATTTCTAAACTAACTTACAAGTTTTGTTGATTGAAGAACGTGAAACAAAAGAATCAGATGATCGCCTTCTTGATGATCCGGAACAGGGATTTGGTGGCAAAGGCACCGGAGGAACAGCTGGGGCTAAAGCCCCAAATTTAAGCCACTCCTTATAGTACATAGCGAACTTGGCTGTTCCCATGTCCATTTGGTCATTGTAGAGCTTACATAAGGCCTTCATTCTCTTCTCTTTCTCGTCATGATCAAAGTTAGAGAGAAGTTCAAGTTCTTTGTGGTACCAAACCTTAAGGTGAAGAAGATGGGGAAGGAACAAATGCTCCCATAGATCAGGAAGCAGGTGGGTTCTCGCTAGGAAAGCCGAATCAACAAAAACTTGAAGCAAATGCCTGGAGGAAATCCTATGATTCTTCTCCAGCTTGTAAACTATAGATAAGTACAGCTGAGCACATGCAGAGAGATGAGAATTGGGAACACCGCCAGTTGAACCATTCCTCGATTTCTTAGAATTCAAGGAAGAAACAATGCTCAAAAGCTCAATCGAATTCCTCAACGATTTCACTCTAAGTTCCTTTTTGTTACACGGATTTTGTACCAAGTCGTCGATGCTCTCAATACCAAGTTTCAGATTCTCAAAAATCTCATCATCGGAGCCGGTTTTTCTCCTTGCTAAGCAAGAGTTGTATTTTTCTTTGATCAGTTCCCGGAAACTCTCGTCTTTAATGTACCTACCGGTGTAGCCACCGAGAATTGATATCACTGCTCTAATGGCGACTTCATCGATTGCAGGCTCATCTCTCCTTGGAGCACCACTACCACCATCGTTTATCAATGGCTTGGGTTTCGGTCTATCCGAATTCGATACCCTTCTAGACGAAAACACCGAGGTCTCGTTTCGGGTAATGGTATCCTTGGCCTTGTGCTTCGAACTTTCCAAGCTTTTCCTATCATGGCAGATGTATATAGGCAGTGCTATAGACTCATCTGGGTTTGCACCGCTTCGATTTTTAAGCCTGATTTTCTTCCCTCTCTCAAACCCTTCTTCTTTAAGCAGTTTTTGCAAAGAGGAATCCATTTTTTGAAAGATGTTCTAAGCTTATTCTTGAAGAAGCAAAGGTTAATGGAGATCAATCTACAAAGCTCCACTGACAGACCAAAAAAAGAAAAGAAGATAACGAAAGGACAGCCATAGAAGAAAGAAACAGCAAAATCTATAAATTGCACAAAAAACAAAGAAAATTAAGACAAGAAGATTTTGCGGGTGGTGATTTTGTCCCTTTCAGACGGTTAAAAAAACTGAGGCGGCACCAGACCGGTTTAATCCAGTTAAAAAGCAGTTAACTTCCCGCCAGAAGGGGTTCGATAATTGTGAACCGGGTTTGAGATGAATTAAAAATGAACTATCGGTGAAGAAAAGGACGTTTTCATCAGCTGTCTGAATCTGATTAAATCAAATTGTTTAAGATGGGGTTAAATAGCATCGAAACAAGAAAACAGCATATTTTGGGAATGGTTAACATGTGATCTGCTCGTGTAAAATATCGACCCCACTTTGTTAATCACCCAATTTGTGGAAAATAGAACAATATGATGTTTCAAGATTCTCATGCAAATCAACTTGGTTTATTAGTAAAACAATGCTTGGGGTTTTGTCAGCTGCACAGAACAGCCTGTGAGAAAGATTAGCAGTTGTTCTAGTCAAGGACGAGGTATAAACGAGTGCACAAAATTAAAATGTACTAAAAGGTAGAATACATCACTATAGTCACACGCCTTAAAAGGTAGAATGTTAATTTTAAGGCCAGACGTGAATTTCATGAGCAAAGGAAACACACGCATGGATCGCTTTCAACTTAAGTGGAAATACAAGCGATAGATGGGATTAGATGACGGGGTGAATACGTGTCGGCCAGGTGTATTTGTTCGTGGGAAGGACCAGCATTATAGAAAAAAAAAATGTTTTAATTTTTTTTAGGTTCTTGACGAACTACGGTGTAAATATGGAAATATCGAAAATTCTGGACCGTCGGATAGCGACCTATCAACTTTGTGAAGGGAAAATGATTCACACGACAATGGACCGGATCTTTTTATGGATTGCGTTGTCTATCAACTACACTGTTTGTCCAAACGATATTGAAACAAAATGGGAATCAATTAAATATTATTATTGTTTGAACATTAATCAATAATTATTGAACTATATTATTAACCAATGTATATAATTAAACCTTCGAGTATAAGTTAAAAGTACTTCATTTGTCTATATATACAACTTTGAAGAAAAATTATTTTGTCTATCTCTACAACTTGTTAAAATATTGCATTTGTACATAGCACCCGTATGTGCCTGACATTAATTTTAGTTTTATATATTTTAAATTATATTCACACGTACCTGTACATGAATAACTTTTTTAAAAAGATGCCACTGTGAATAAAACAATGATGAGTATGTGTTCTATGGCATAGCTATCTAAGCTATAGGATTGTGGGATGATATTTTTCTAGAGTCATATTTAGCGTTTTGTAATTTTAATATATGGGTTATTATGTGATATATATCGTTTAAAATTTATTTTATATGATCTGTTTATTTTAATTTTAAATCTTAAATTTAAAATGATAAATAATAAAGATTTAAATTTTAAGTTTACAATAAAAAATCATACATTCTAAAATTCTAAACTCTAAACTCTATTATCTAAAACCCTAAATTCTAAACTATAAAATGCTTAAATCTTAAATTTTAAACTCTACAATCTTAAACCTTAAGTAAGACATGTGAAATCAAAATAAACAGACTATGTAAAATAATTTTTATTCAATTTTTGTATAAAAAAGTTATTAATATACATAGGGATTTCACCAATTATATTGTGTACAATTCTCTAGTTTCACATTAATTTAATATTATTAGATTAATATAAATAGGTGACTAAAATATACTGTTAAAAACAAGAATATCTTTATAAATAATATAAATATATAAAATTTTAATTTCAATCATTAATTTATATTCGTATAATGATATTGAGTAAATATAGAACTAAACAATATTGCACAATAATCTCTCTCGTCCTCTTGTCATATCCCCGTCTATTTCTTTTAAATTTGGCTGTTTTCCATCTTATTTTTTTAATTAAATTTTATCATTTTATATAAAATTTATATATCTATTTAAAATTAAGGTCGTATGACTATAATTAAGTTACATAAAATTATTTATTTATTTATTAATTATTGTAAAGCATTGACATGTTACAGTAATCAATCATGTTTCTATTTTGGAAATAATTTTAAATAATTTAAATATTATATTAAAAATAAATTTTATGATTTAAACATCTTAATTAGAATTAGATATATTATTATGATGACATGAAATGTTATAAACGTGATACCAAATGTCTAAAGTATTTAACATATTTTTAACCTACACATCAAAACATATGATTTAGGTCATACCTCTGAACCGGTTACCATGTTTTCAGAGACACAAACACAAATAGGCTTAATTACCACCATATTATTGATTATATGCTTAATTAGCCATTAACCGAGTTTATCGGATAAATTATCGCACATAAAACTAAGTTATCCACAAATGATTATTGTTGTTGACAAATATATATATATATATATATATATATATTTAATACTCACACTTACTTTCATTGTCTCAATCTAAATAAGATATCAAGTACTCACACTTACGCAGTCACACTCGTAATTTTGATTTAAATTAAATATGATGTAGGTGTGGCTAAAATTCAATTTGATTATTTTATCATTTAGTCATTGATTTACTTATTTATTCAATTCCTCGTTTATTCTGAGTCTAACTTTTAATCAAATTTGATCAATACATTTTTAGATAGTTATAGAATAATTATGTCTAAAATCATTTTCTTTTCAATTTAATCTCTCCCATTTATATGATTCTTTGTTTATTTAATTGTTCTTTTATTTTAAAACAATTTGGATCTCAGTCAATTATAAACTTTAATTTAAATATTTTAACCAATTTTAGATTATAATTAAACTAAATAATTAAATCGAGTTATAATAAATATCATATTTATTAATTAAAATGTGTTTATGATCATTATTAATTCAATTTAATTATTGATAATATTTTCATTAAAGAAGACATTTCTGACAAAACCCATGGTATCGCACAGTCCAAATTTCATCTGTCTTTGCCCAGCTGCCTTACAAATTGGTTGGGGACTAAAATGATTGATTTATTTGTAATTTATACTTAATTTGGATGCATCAAGAGGGACAGCCACTGCCTAATTTTATCACCATGCTTATGAACCAACATGAAATCATAAATTTATGAGACCAAAAAATTAGAATTGCAACGAAATCCCAAAAAAGAAGAACAAGTGTCACACGTTTACCATACTTTTATCCCATTCTCATCTACCTCAAGCTTTCAAGGATAATCTAACACACCAATAATTTCTCCTTTCAATCCCATCACCACCAAGTCTCCAGAAATCCACTTTCTTTGATTTTTTTTTTCATTTATCGACTTTGGTGGAGTTGGAGATTCAAAGTACAATTCCCACCTTGATTAAACTTTAGAGTGAGTTTGGTTCATGGAATGTAGCATTATCTTCGAGAATAGGATTACCGGAATATAACATTACCTAACACATTATCGGGAATGTTGTATTGTTGCGTTTGGTTCGTTTAGCATGAATATAAGATTACAGTGTTTGGTTAAAGGAATAAAAGATTATTGGAATGTATATTTTACCGAATTGTCCTTATTATATATTTGTTTTTTTAACAAGTTGAATTCTAAATATTCAAATGAAAAAATTTGTATAAAAGATCATAGAAAATATACAATTTTATTTTTTTAATTTATATATTTTCTTTAAAAAAATTCAAATTCAAAAAATTTATATATTTTTTTTACAAAATTTAAAAGATAAATAGATTTAATGAAAGGGTTTAATTTTATTTTAACTACTTAATTTCACATAAATTTCTAATTATGGATTTTTTTTTGTAAATCTAAAATAGTTTAAGGATAAATTTACAATTTAACATTCGTAGAATTTTTTTATTCAACGACTGAAGAGGGATATTTTTGAAAAAAAAAATTATTTTAAGGACATTTTAATTCAAAACGTCGGGAAATGACAAATGCCTAAGGGATTGGGGGAATCACATTCCCAGTAATAAACTCTAGAAATGTCACTGTTGAAAATAACTTATTATCGGGGTTGAGAATCTTTACAATTCAAACCGAGAATCACATTCCGGAAAAAAAATTTCCCCGGTAATCTCAACCCCATCCAAACACACCCTTAAGGCCCGAATCCCCCTTATTGAGTTTTATTTTGTTTCTTGGTATCCAAATGATGATATATAGGATTTGATTTCCTTTCCTTTTTTTTTATCTTAATTATGAATTTGAGCCTTTCTTGTTCCCTTTTTGCATTCATTGAAAAGCTACCTTTAGTTTCTCATGGCCATTTTTTTTTTGCATTGATTTGTTATTTTTACAATTTTATTTGCCATTTTATCATGCCCCGTTCTGGGTCTCAGGCATTGCATTGATTGGCCTTGGTTTTTATTCCCCTTTAAACACCCACCTGCATTTTGTTTTAAATGCACGGTTGCTTCTTCAAATATGTTGACCATTGCTTATGGTAACCACAGTTATCTCATTTCTCAGCTTCTATTGTATTACCTTTGATTGCCTTTGAGGTGCTTTTCACACAGATTTAATTTTAATGCCCTTTCCACTGGATTTACATTTGCTTTTCTGAAATGCAAATATTTATTTATTTGATTGAATTGAAGTTGTCTTTAGATTCAGAATTTTTTTTTATCTGATATTTCTTGGAATAGGATGGTTATCGGTATCTAATATTCTTAAACTGACATGATGGAAGAAGAATTGCAGTTTTTTATCCTCCTGACTGCCATTTTTGTATTTGTTATAGATTGATGAATGGAGGAGGCACAAAACTAAGAGAAGGTACACTTTCTACTATGGTGATTTTGAGATTGTAATATGAAAGCAGTGCCTAAACAGATTACCATGGCAATGAAGTCCTACAAAGATCAGGCTCACATGTTGGTGAAGAATTACTTATTGGCTGATCCTTTCGTTCCTTATACTTCCATCCTCAGTGGCATGCTTGCTTCCAAACTGGTATGCCGATATTTTCCCCTAGTAAATATGTTTAACTTCTGAATTCTGGATCATTGAATCGTTAGTCAGGAGCTTCCTTATACACATTAATGAAGCTTCCAGGAATAAATTCCACATACTTTAAATTAACTTGTATCTAATTTGATATTGCTACATGGTTTCTTTTCCTCTGGACTCCTTTATTAAACTTACGTTTTCACAGGTCTATGATCTGACCGACTTAATCAGCAGCTTTTACATCAAGACTTACCCTAGTATTACTAAAATTCAACGAGTAGATTGGAACAATCGGTTAGTGTAGTGCATGCTCTGGGTTTTTTTTGCTACAGTTATCATGCTCATTCCCTCATTTGTTATTAACATATTTTTGGCAGTGGCACTCTACGACTCATGCCATTTTCATTTCTACTTTGTCGTTGTACTTCGTTTTCTTGTCGGACCTCTTTTCTGACCCAAAGCTTTTGGGTCTTATTGTCTTCAGAAGCTCAACACTGTCTACTTTTGGTTTAGGGGTAAGTTTTAACCTTCTTATAAGATATTCAAGTGGTTCAACCATGTATCTAGTGGATAATTTATCTGCTGAGATATATCATCGACTGTGAAGTGTGAACTACGCATGCACTTTTCTAATGACTCTGCATTTTCAGCACATTCATTAGGCTTAGAAAAGCTTAACTTTATTTGAACAAGTTTCTTTTAATCATTTTCTTCTTTTGGATTAAGGTTATTGCTTAAGAACAAACTGCTAATAGTATAATGATTTTGAGGATGCATAACGTCCTTTGTAGTTGTTAGCATCTTCTTCGACTACTTGATTTCGAATACCAAATTTTGGTATAAACATTTGTTATATTGTAAAGGTTTCTCTTGGTACTTCTTTTCGGATCTTGCTATAACTTTATGGCAGTATCCCTCTTTAGGTGGAATAGAATATGTAAGTGTATTCTCTACTAGGAAAGCACTCTGGTATACACCTCATTTATTTGTCCGTCTTTTCACTGTTGTAAGGAACAATAGTAACAGTTCAAGTTCCTACTGTCCCTAAAAAAAGATTGAAGGACAATATGCAACACCCTTTTAAAGTGTATCTTCAAATAGTCAGTTCTTTCCTTACACCATTCAGGTTTATGATAAACTCATTTGGTTCATAACTAAATTGCAACATAAAGTATGCAAGCATAGTGTTGTTATGCTTCTAGGTCAGAGGATTCAGTTCAGTTAATTTTCAGAGTATCTTCGACGTATTTTGAATAGGTTGAATCTTATAAAACCGTTAACCGTATGTTCATGAGGTATATATATGGAATGATAATGGATGATTAACGCAATACTATCATCTGATTGCTAGGTTATCCATCATATCCTTTCTGGAATTGCAGTGGCATATTCAATGTTTACCGGAGAAGCCCACCTGTATACATACATGGTTCTTATATCTGAGGTGACAACCCCAGAGATCCATCTGAGATGGCAAGTTGAACGTGATTAGGTTTGTTTGTAGAAACTTTGATCGTAAATCATCAAATGAGTTCTGTGATTGAAGGTACCTTGATACAGCTGGTATGAAGAATTCCATTGCTTATCTCATTAATGGTATCGTCATCTTTATTGGCTGGCTGGTGAGCTCAACTTTTCTAAGTTTTTCATTATAAAAATGTAACACGCATTGTTAAATTTCACCGCACAAGAACCTGTGTCATAAAATAGGAAATAGGATGGCCATAAAAAAACAAGCTGCCTGGAGTTCCTGTTCATTTTCCATAAGGTCCTTGAACCTTTAAACAAAGCTGAAGAAAGTTATGGATCGCAGATTGAAAGAGTTCTGTTGTTTGGCTACATGTTCTACCATGTGTACTTGCATTATGATCAGGTATTTTCAATATCTAATTGTTGCTAAGAATACTAAAGAAAAAATTACAATTAAACCAAACAATCTTTGTTGCACTAACTTTATATTAAAGTGAACATATGAATATCTGTTCTAACTTGGATCGAGTCAGTAGGTGATGAAGATGCATACCTTCGGGTACATCTTGGTTTTCGGCGTACGATCCGCATTAGGCATCTTGAACATGATGAGGTTTGGGAAGATTATTAGAGGTCTATTGAAGACTTTAGCAAAAAGGGGATCACCCACAAAGGAAGTAGACGGTGAACATTAATTATTCCATTATTGTTCTGCCGGAGATCTGTGTATTTTCCCCACATGTGCAAATGTATAAAGATGGAGAAATAGGTGAAAAACTCTGAGAACAACAACAAACTTTAGTCTGATACGATTTTTTTTGTGTTAGGTATGTTATTGTTGTAAATATAATCTTCTTGTATGTATGTATACCTGTCCACTGTTTGTGAGTACTATAAATGGTGTGGATATGTGTGCAAGTATACACAATCGAACAAGTAATAAAGTGATGAGTGAGTATTGTTCTCCACAGGGATTGGGGGAAATCAAATAAGTTTGTCACGACACTTTACTCTGTCATCTAAGTAAAGTTAGAGATGGTATATATACAAATGGTAATGTTGTGGCAAAATGAATGGATGGTATGGAAATGGAACGATGACAATGTGGTAGCAAATGGATATGTTGTGGCAAAAGGAATTGTGTGTACTGCAATCAAATAAAAATGTAAAGGCAAAATAAACTGTAAATACTGGATTTGATTATAAGGACTTTAGACTTCCTCACACGACAAGCTACTATGGGAATGAATGATAGGAGTTACCTAGGAAAATCTAAGTCCACTTCTCAGAATGGTTTTACTTCTATGCTTTATCTGCCCGATAGAGTTTACTAAGGGTGCCCTATGCTATCTCTAGTCAAGGGACTCGACATATTGAAGATGCCTTGGCAAAACCGATTGACGTTAGCTACTGCAGAGATCCTATTGGTCTAGATAACAGGATATGTTTTGGCAATACCTTTTTGCGGCAGCATTAACATTTAACATATCGCTCATGCACAACTCCTTTTAGTCGAATGAAATCCTAGCCTTATCTCTAAGGTGGATTAGGCCTAGTTACTATCTAGAACCCCTTGCTTATGTGGTTCCTCCCTAGTTTCTCTCGAATACTAAGGATATGCTACTTAGGCATTCTCTCGAACACTAAGTAATCACCTAAGGAATGGCTACTTTCATAGCTCCTACAACCTTAAGGCATTAAAATTCATAAGCAAAACAGATTAAAACATAGAAAAACAATCATTCATTAAAGCAAAACTTAAATATCCAAAATAAATTCTCACCAAATAGGATTAGTTCATGGTGGGATTCGTAATAAGCAAGCACAAAGCAAGTTAATTTGTTCCTTACAACCCAAATAATAAATAACGAAAGCAAAGAGCAAAGGGAAGGAGGAAAAGCCTTCAACGTGCACTGCCGGAGCTTCCCTCGGCCACCACGAACAGTCCCATCGATCTAGCTCCTCTCGGACGCCTAGTTCGCCACTCCCTATAGCCAGTCAACGGAGGAATGCCATGGCAAAAACGATTGACGGAAAAAGAGAGAACTTTTTCTCCGAATTTTTAGGCTCTTGGCGGCTGTCTAAAATTCTCCAAGTCTCCTAAAAAAGCCAGGCTTCATCTTCTATTTATAGGGGAGAATGAACCTAGGGTTTTGTGTTAAAATTACACTAACACCCTAAAGTTCATTCCTTTTATGTGAGAGTCGGTGAAAAGATGTTAATTGGCTCCTCCATTATGGCTGATTGCAGAAAGCACTTTTTATGCCATGACAGCTGACTCTTTCTAAAAATATTTTCTTTGACTTTTTCTTCCCAGAAATGCCATCCGAATTGTCGTGGCAATCACATTTTGCTCAGTAGTCTCATCATGTCATGGAAATTCCCTTTTTCTTATCATTGCTCCCAAATCCTGCACATCATCAAACAAAACACCTTTCCCATAAAGCATCACTGATTACAAAATAAAAATACCACGGCAAACAGAATTTCACCACATGAAACTCTATGCTCCTAAATGCATCTATATGATCCTATATGAGCTCTAAGATAATCAATAACTTAAGTGAAAAGGTCCCAATTATGACCTTTTTACGGAGTTATCACACCCCCAAACTTAAGCTATTGCTTATCCTCAAGCAATGGATAGTATTATGCAAAATAAAAATACCATGGCAAGTTCAGAAGCATAATAGTTATATGGGATAGAATATCTGCCCTTAGAACATTTGGCTTCAACATGCTAGACTGGTTTGAGAAATCAAGTATTGTTCCCTAGGGCAAGATTCTTTGTGTGGGTATGTGCGTGATTGTATCAAGTCCATGCTTAACAAACCTAAAAATTTTCTACGCAAGTTTTCTTGTTTTTCCATAACATTTACAATTTTTACTCCCACATTGTTTTTGTTTTTTTTTTTGGTTTTTTTTCATTCCTGCTACGAAATGAGTAAGCCCATCACACCTACCATCCCACACTCCAGGTGAAAGGGAGCATAACTTCCACCCCGAGCTAGTCAGGTAGAGTTATCCCGTGACTACTTTCATTCACTCATATACCATAGTTGTCTTTTATTTATTTGTAGTTTCCAGGTAATGCCATGGCATAACGGAGTGTCCCTCTACAGATATGCCGAAGCATTTATTCACAACTTCATTTTTTTTCTTTCTTTTTTTACAAAGTGGGGTTTCATCGTTTATGCCAAGACCTGCAAGAGTACTCTTATAAAAAAATTCTAAGTTCCTTAAGCATGGAAAACATACAATCGTGTATTCAAAGGTTTCAAAGAAGAAAGTCCTAGAGTTGGTTCTATTATCCTCAACAGTCATGTACATTCAATCCTAGCCATAAAAAATTCATCGTCATCGAGCATCCTTAATTTACTTCAAAAAACTAATTCTACACTTACTAATGTCATGACATAGTCATTCTACTAATACTATCATGAAATGATTTGAGAACCCTACCTCCCCCAAACTTGAGAGAAGAATTGTCCTCAATGCTAAATAAAAACTAAGGAAAAACTAAACTACATGCTATGAAATTCAATGCAATGCAAGGTATCTTGACTTCATGCTTGTAGTGGTGCGGCAGTCGTGCGACGTGTGCACTTTTGTAATTGTGTGGGGTTGAAATGTTCAGAATACGATGCTGGTACGGTTGAAATCTGGATATACACTCTACGTTGCCCAAGCACAGCTCTCACGGCAAAATCACTTGCATCACACATTAGTTCGAACGGTGTCGTCCAATCTGGGGGAACCACGATCAATGCAGAGATAAATCTTTACTTTAGCTCTTTGAATGCGCCATGGTATTTCTGATCGAATACAAACAGTTGGTTCTGTTGCAGCAATGTGCACAAGGGCTTGGATATTGTGGAGAAGTTCTTGATGAATCGTCTATAAAATCTAGTATGTCCAAGGAAACTCCGAATGCCCTTGACAGAAGTTGGTGGCGGTAGCTTCTCTATCACCTCGATCTTGGCATTTTCAACCTCAATACCCTTTGCAGAAATCTTATGGCCTAGAACAATACATTCGGTCACCATGAAGTTGTTTTTTTCCCAATTCAGCACGAGATCAGTCTCCTCGCATCGCTTCAGTACCTTCGCCAAATTGCTGAGGCATTTTTGAAAATCATCTCCAGAAACAGAAAAATCATCCATAAAAATTCCAGAAAGTCCTCAACAATGTCTGAAAATATGGCTTGCTTGCAGCACTGAAAAGTTGTCGGGGCATTACAGAGTTCAAAAAGCATTCTTCGAAAGGCATACGTGCCATAGGGACACGTGAATGTTATCTTCTCTTGGTCATCCGGTGCGATGTCAATTTGATTATACCCCGAGTATCCGTCCAAGAAACAATAAAATGCCTTGCCAGCAAGTCGATCTAGCATTTGATCGATGAACGGCAAAGGGAAATGATCCTTCTTGGTGGCCTTGTTTAGCTTGCGGTATCCATACAAATCCGCCACCCGGTGACCGTGCGTATAGGTATCAACTCATTGTCCTCACTCGTCACCATGGTTATGTCTCCCTTATTTGGCACGCATTAGACAGGACTCACCCAAGAACTATCAGAAATAGGGTATATTACGCCAGTGTCAAGCCATTTGAGAATCTCCTTCATCACAACTTGCTTCATGATTGGGTTTAGTCTGAGCTGCGGCTCTATGGATTTACTGTGGCATTCTTCCAGCAAGATTTTGTGCATGCAGATTGTTGGACTTATTCCCTTAAGATCTGCCATAGTCCATGCTAACGCTTTCTTATGCTGTGACAAAACACTTAACAAACTAGATTCTTGGTTATGAGTAAGGGCAGAGGAAATAATCACAGGCAAAGTTTCATTACTACCCAGATAGGCATATTTCAGATGTTGTGGCAAATTCTTAAGTTTTAGGGTAGGAGCATGTTGTAATGAGGGCTTAGAAGGAATAAACTCTTAAAAATTCAAAGGTTCAAAATGCGTACCTGGGCTAGCTTTGAGGAAGCTAGCCTGTTGTTCATCGATAGAAAAATCATTAGGCTCTCCAGCCTTTAAGTCTTCGAAAAACCCCTCATCAGGTCCCAGCTAAATGAAATTGTCTTGGCAAAACTGATATGCTTCATTCGTGATTACTGTATCCACTTCTAAAATGCTTTGGCATTCTTCAGAATCATCAATGTACTTGAGGGATCGGAAGACATTCACAGTGACATGTTGATCGGCCACTCTCATAGTCAGCTCGTCCCTCTCGCAGTCGATGAGAATACGCCCGGTAACTAGGAAGGGTCTCCCCAAGATGATGGGTGTTGTGGCATCGACCTCACAATCCATAATTAGAAAATCAACAGGAAAAACGAACTTATCAACCCGCACGATGACATCTTCAATTCGCCCTTCAGGACGCACATGTGATCGATCAGCTAATTGCAAGATGACAGATGTGGGTCTCGCATTTCCTATCCCAAGCTTCACGAAAATTTACTTAGGCATCAAGTTCTCGCTTGAGCCAAGGTCACATAGTGTCTTCCCAAAAAATTTATTTCCTATCGAACATGGGATGATAAAACTGCCTGGATCATGTCTCTTCGGTGGCAGCTTGCTTAAGGATGAGCAAAATTCTTTTGCCATAGTAATTGTCTCGTACTGCTCAACCTTTCTTTTCTTGGTCACAATCTCCATGAGGAACTTAGCATATGTAGGCATTTGTTCCATAGCCTCTAGAAAAGGAACATTGATTTGAAGTTGACTCAGAATGTCAACAAATTTTCTGAATTGAATATCCTCGTTATGCTTTTTCAGTCTTTGCGGAAAAGGAGGTGGGGGTCTGGCTTCCTGTACTGACGGGGTGGGAACAGAATTTGTCTTGGCATTTTTGTTTGCTCCCTCATTCACTTTACTTTATAAACTCTCATCTTTATCATCTTCCTCTGGTGCTTCTTCTAGCACTTCTTGATCAGCTTGTACAGTCTCAGGGGGTGAATTATCCTTCGATCTTCCCCCAAACTTGTCTTCGACATTAATTCGTTTACCACTTCGTAGAGTTAGCACACTACAATGCTATTTTCCATGAGGTTTTGTGACTTCAGTGTCACTCGGCAAATGTCCTGATTATCGTTCTTGTAATGTCGTGGTAATTTGACCAACCTGATTCTCCAATGTCCTCAGCGACGAACTGTGGCTCTAAAACAGAGCCCCTTGGTTTTTTATGGAGGTTAAATGGTCTTGCAGCATTGTCTTTGTTGTTGCTATGAACTCTTGCATTGTGGCCTCCAAAGAACTGGTGTTAGATGAAGATGGCTCTCCCTTGTTGGAATTATGCCATGGCATAGTCGATTGAAATCCCTGGGAGTCATTGAAATTCTACTGTCGAGCTGGTTGATGAGCATTGTTGGTTCCTTGGTTTCCCCACAAAAAAATTGGATGTTGACGCCATCTAGGATTATATGTGTTAGAATAGGGGTTGTTGTTACCTCGATTGAAGTTGCCTACATAATTACTGGATTCTTGATTGGTCGGGCAGTCACTCTCATTGTGATTGTCGTGGCATAATAAACATGTTGAATGGGTTGCCTTTACTTTTCTCACCTCGCTTGGTCTTTGCAAATTCTTCAGCATATTAGTGATAACAGCAAGTTGGGCGGACACCGAATCCTTAGTGTCTAGCTCGAAAGCTCCATGTGATTTTCGCCCAACTCCAAGCCTTGTGGATGAAAACTGATAATCATTGGTGGCAATCCTATCCAGAATGTCAAATGCCTCTGCTGGTGATTTGTCAAGTAAGGTCCCATTTGTCGAGGCATCTAGCATCATCCTCATGGGTGCATTAACTCCATTGTAGAACATCACCACTTGCGTCCAATCTTCAAAACCATGATTTGAACATTTACGAAGCAATGCTTTGTATCGATCCCAACACTTATACATTGATTCGTCATCAGCTTGACGAAAAGAAGCTATGTCGTTCCTCAGTTGGGTGTTCATGTTCGGAGGATTATACCGCAGTAATTTTTTTTTTGCACAAAACATTCCACGACTCCATTGAACCCGCTGGAATGGCACTCAACCAAGCCCTTTCTCGGTCACGCAAAGAATAAGGAAATATCTTTAGTTTCAAAACATCTTCGTGCACTCCTTGTTGGCGAAAGGAATCGCACACCTCCAAGAAGTTACGAATGTGTTGTCTGGCATCTTCATTTGGCATGCCCCCAAATTGCCCTATGAAGTTCAGTATATTAAACATGAAAGGTTTGAGCTCGAAGTGGGCTGCCTGAATTTCTGGTGCCATAATTCCAGGATTTAAGTCATCTAAGATCGGGTTTAAGTAATCACGAATGGAACGAGGTCGGGCTACATTCTCAGCATTTAGATTTGCCTCGGCATTCTGATCATCCTCATGACCAATGCCTTGATTTCCGATTTGATACATATTTGCACGTTGAGCACGTATTCTTTGCCTAAAAAGCCTCTCGATCTCAGGTTCAACTGGTTCTAATGGCTCGTCCGAATGTATTCTGGTCATACACAGTGAAAAACCTGAAAAAGATAAGGAAAATAAAAATTAAAACTATCTAAAAAAATAAACAAGTAAAATAATAATGCTATGACAAAACAGATTAACTTCCAGTTGCCAATCCAAAAACTTGTCTGCTGTTTGTGAGTACTATAAATGGTGCGGATATGTGTGCAAGTATACACAATTGAACAAGTTATAGAGTGATGAGTGAGTATCGTTCTCCACAGGGATTGGGGGAAATCAAATAAGTATGTCACGGCACTTTACTCTGTCACCTAAGTAAATTTAGAGATGGTGTATATACAAATGGTAATGTTATGGCAAAATGAATGGATGGTATGGAAATAGAACGATGATAATGTGGTAGCAAATGGATATGTTGTGGCAAAAGGAATTGTGTGTACTGCAATCAAATAAAAATGTAAAGACAAAATAAACTGTAAATACTGGATTTGATTATAAGGACTTTAGACTTCCTCACACGACAAGCTACTATGAGAATGAATGATAGGAGTTACCTAGGAAAATCTAAGTCCACTTCTCAGAATGGTTTTACTTCTATGCTTTATCTGTTCGACAGAGTTTACTAAGGGTGCCCTATGATATCTCTAGTCAAGGGACTCGACAGATTGAAGATGTCTTGGCAAAATCGATTGGCGTTAGCTACTGCAGGGATCCTATTGGTCTAGATAACAAGATATGTCTTGGCAATACCTTTTTGCGGCAGCATTAACATCTAACCTATCGCTCATGCACAACTCCTTTTAGTCGAATGAAATCCTAGCCTTAACTCTAAGGTGGATTAGGCCTAGTTACTATATAGAACCCCTTGCTTATGTGGTTCCTCCCTAGTTTCTCTAGAATACTAAGTATATGCTACTTAGGCATTCTTTCTAACACTAAGTAATCACCTAAGGAATGGTTACTCTCATAGCTCCTATAACCTTAAGGCATTAAAATTCATAAGCAAAACAGATTATAACATAGAAAAACAATCATTCATTAAAGCAAAAGTTAAATATCCAAAATAAACTCCCACCAAATAGGATTAGTTCATAGTGGGGTTCGAAATAAGCAAGCATAAATCAAGTTAATCTGTTCCTTACAACCCAAATAATAAATAACGAAAGCAAAGAGCAAAGAACAAAGAAAAGGAAAAAAAGCCTTCGACGTGCACTGCCGGAGCTTACCTCGGCCACCACGAACAGTCCCAGCGATCTAGCTCCTCTCGGACGCCTAGTTCGCCACTCCCTATAGCCAGTCAACGGAAGAATGCCACGGCAAAAACGATTGACGGAAAAAGAGAGAACTTTTTCTCCGAATTTTTAGGCTCTTGGTGGCTGTCTAAAAATCTCCAAGTCTCCTAAAAAAGTCATGCTTCATCTTCTATTTATAGGGGAGAATGAACCTAGGGTTTTGTGTTAAAAATACACTAGCACCCTAAAGTTCATTCCTTTTATGTGAGAGTCGGTGCAAAGATGGTAACTGACCCCTCTATTATGGTTGATTGCATAAAGCACTTTTTATGCCATGACAGCTGGCTCTTACTAAAAATATTTTCTTTGACTTTTTCTGCCCAGAAATGTCGTCCGAATTGTCGATACAATCACATTTTGCTCAGTAGTCTCATCATGTCATGGCAATTCCCTTTTTCTTGTCATTGCTCCCAAATCCTGCACATCATCAAACAAAACACCTTCCCCATAAAGCAGCACTGATTACAAAATAAAAATGTCACGGCAAACAGAATTTCACCGCATGCAACTATATGCTCCTAAATGTATCTATATGATCCTATATTAGCTCTAAGACAGTCAAAAACTTAAGTGAAAAGATCTCAAATATAACTTTTTTTACGGAGTTATCATTACTTGAAATTTTGAAGTTTTAATATTTATATTTTTTATTATAAATGGAGGGAATTGACAACATAACAATGGTTTTGTATTTAAGAAGGGCAGTTTTGGTAATCGATGAAAAGGGCATCTTTGAATGGTCATTCTCTTCCATTAAGAATTCATGTGGGGGAATCAATGGGGTCCTCCCTGCCACTGCACTTCGATTCTCAACCAAAAACATACATCAACCATTCAACAGTTAACTACAAACAAATGTACACTGTGCCAACAACTATTATAATATCCATTTCCATGGGGTTAGCTAACACTACCATTCTTAAAATACAAACCTAAAACCTGTAAATGCCTTCTTTTTCAGGAATGAATACAGCTTGAGGTCCGGTTTAAGTTTAGGAACAACAAAATATAAAATATATTAGCTATAAGTTCACTTTCCTTCTTTCAAAACTTGATAACCACTTTTGCTAGCACCATAGCTACAAGAATGTGATGAACATAATAGTTTCAGCTTAACGGCTAATTGCAATGAAAATCTAAAAAACAAAAATTAACCATTAGAGGCACTTTGACAAAATTGAAGTATCATATTAAGAAAAAGCTATAATTTAGAGAGAATTTGTCATTAAACCTGTGTATAAATATGTGTATCCTGGCTCTCTTCCCTTCCCTTTCTCTTTCAATCTGAATCCTCAGTGGAAAATAAAGGAAGAAAGGCCAACTTTTGCAACGGGGCCACCGCCTTCTCAAGAGCATACAAGACTAGCTCCAATAATGGTGTCCAGAATGGCATTTCTGTAACTTTCACCAAACCTGACATCCCCTCAGGGTTCACAGATACATTGACGGGTCGCCCTTTGACCACCCACCACTGAAATAATGGTCACTGCACAGTTGCTGCAAACATATTTTTCTCTCACATTTTCCACATCATAAATGATAAAAGATGAGCTGGCAGCTCCCATACTCCCCACCATAAGCATGTGTGAGCTGTTCTTTTCTTCACAATCTGTCATGAGATACTTTATGGAAATCTCCATTTGCATTTTTTTTTTCAAAGGTAAATAAATGTTGCAGCTTGTATGACAGCCTAGATGTCAAGCACTTATGGAATACCTTTATTCATAATACCAAGTTCAATGGATTAATGAAGGATTTACTGGATAGCTTCCACTTTTGGTAGTATTACAAGTTACAACAAACCCTAATTTGTATTTATACATAAAATATGAGAGTTCAAACACTTGAAATGAAAGAAACAGTTAATTAGAATGAGTGCAACATAAAATATAGGTCAACAAGTGGGGGAATTAACAATTGATATAAACAACTGTCAGTTTAATGTGATTAATGGGCAGTTTTTTTCTTTTTCTAATCAACAATGAATATGACCTCACTTGGGAGCTGACTGATTATCCTGGGAAGCTAAAGCAAGGATGGAATTAGCAAGCTTGTTAATGGCATCGACCAGGCCATCAAGGCCTCTTTTGTTGATCTCAGTCTTGGATTCCTCCATCTTTAGTCTTCTCTCGTGCAAATTAAGGAGATCTCTATGTCTTCTCTCCTCTCTCTCCTCACTGGCTCGGATGGCTTCTGCTATAATGGAAGCACTTTTAGTGATTGCAGTGGCGACGTCATTTGTCTTGTTTGCACTTGTTGTGCCCCCACTGGTGCCTTCACCATTACCTCCTCTCTTCCTTCTCTTTGCTGGGGTTTCTGAATACTCCCTTGTATCAGAATCTGAGCTATCACACATCTCCAAAACATAATATAGCCAATGAAATCAATCAATACTAACTGAAAATTCATGACACACGGAGAAACTATATATCAAATATTAGTGATGAAGTCTGCCAACTCCCACCCCTTCCAAGAACAATGAATCACTAAATTGGATGCTACTAAAATGCGCATTTAATCACAGCATCATCATAAACACCGGTCTCTAACATGGAATATCAAAACTTGCTAAGCAAATTCAAAGGCTCAGAGCAACTCTTCATGTAGGTGTAATGAGAGAGAGGAAAGAAGTACCTACTATGGGAAATGGCTGAGCACGTGAAAGGGGAGGTGGTTGTACTAATGACACAGGAGCAGCTGTAGGCGGTGCTGATAGACTTAATGGAATTGCAGTGGGAATGGGAGCTGAAATTTGATGTTGCAATAGAGGAGGCAATGAAGTTTGCACACTGGTAATACGTCTGTCCATAACATAAGGTATATTGAGAGTGGAACCTGAGCCGCCAGCAGCCACCACCCTTTGATCTCCTTTCTTCTCCACCACCTCCTCCAGACGCTCATATATCAGGCGAAACACATTGCTAGGCAAATTATTTCCTTTTCTTTCATTCTTCTCCATTTCCCAATAAGAAGTGCTTTCACTAGTGTTAGTCCCTTCTCCTCCTGTATCAGCTATTCTCCTTTGGTACTCTCTCACTTTCTTGTAGTCCCTCATGAGATTATCCCACTTGTCGTTGCACTGGTTTTGGCTCCTCAAACACCCTTTTCTCCAACAATACTCTTCCACCCATTTCCATCTCAGCTCTGTTGGTTTACTCCTTCCTTCACTTCTCTTCTTTCTTCTCTCATCATCCATCTTCTTTGCCTCAATCAATACCAATGTTTCATTAACAGTCCAGTTTCCTTTCCTGTATTCCCTCGTCACAACACTGTTACCACCTTGGTCAGCCATCACCAACTTCAAGCAACACCCCTAACTAAAACATAAGGGAGAAGAAAGAAACCGGAGCTTTATGTAATGCTCAAGAAAAGGGAGCAAGATGAACTCTTTTTAGAAGAGAAACTTGAAAAAGAACCGAACTTGGCCCATTGATCCAATACTAAGTTCTGAACAGTGAACACTCTATGTCTTCCTTTTGCTCTCCTTTTGGAAGCCTGACTTGATGTTGGGTAAAAAAAGTAGTCAAATAGCACAAAGATCGCAAATTGACTAATTGAGGCAAAGGTATATGTAAGCTCCAACCTAAAGCTAATCTCAAAACATATGCAAAAGGATACTAATAATTCATTGCTTTGGCTATTCTCAAATGCAAGACACCACCATAAGGTACAACGTAACTTCGGCCTTTATCATATTACTAAAGTAGTTTATTAGCGTATCATCAAATTCAAACCAAAATTTTTACAACAACAAATCGTTGACTAATGACAAAGTTAACAATCTGATGTCAACAAAGGCGTAAGGAACGAATAATCTTATGCATAAATAGGGTAGAGGCCATCCAAATCAAAGTTGTTGTGGGACTGCCTATAATATTAAATTTCGCGACAGTGATAGGAAATCTCAACACTCGCTTGAATATTTTTACTGCAGTTCAATTAATATAGAGCCATTTATTGCAAGTAAGGACTATATTATATATATTGGGGCGTGGCTTCATATGCTTCAATTCTTAATATTGCTTACTTTGTACACGCTACGCACACATACAAAAGAAAAGAGAGTTTTTCTTTCTTTCTTCCTTTGCAAATAATTTATAATTATAAAATGACATATAATAATGTGTAGAGATAAAATACATTAAAATATATGAGGAAGACCTTGAATTTTGGTCTTGCAATATGGGAACTGTAATATTAAATATGGGTCCAAACCTATGGACTAAAACACTTGTAAAAACAAGCAGCTGTTGTGGATTATTATATGAACTGAATTTAGAACCCAATGGTTCACGAAATTTATCCAAACTAAGAATTTGGGCTCAAATGGTTATCAATGCCTATCCACGTAACTCAATCAAGAAACCAAAAAAAAAAAGAGAGAAAAAAAAACACATCCTCGTAGATCGTCATGGGATTCTATTTGGGAACCCAAAGTAGGAAGGCATTGTTGGATTAAACAGCATATAATAGGCCATTTTTCTGCCACTATCTTTGAGGGGTTTGCTTTGTGACAAGTATGATTTTTCTTGTTGGTCATGCCTATGTACCAACCAGGGCAAGGCATTAAAGGTTGAAGAGGGACCCTTTGGCTGTAGGCTTTTCATATAAAGGATCTTCTTCGAGATGCATTTTCTTCTTTATTCCAACAACCAAAAGGAAAGGATGGACTTTGATGGAAGTGTCCCTTTTGCACTTCCTAAGTACCCATAAAATTATTGTAAAAAATCTCATTTTTTGTAGGAAAAATATTGTCAAAAGAAAAGAAAATATACTTTGCTTCAACAAGTTTAAAACCATTATTTGGATGACACTGATTTGTGGATTGCACTTCAAATAGATATGATAATTTTGTAAAAATATTATATGTATCTATGAACTTATAAACAATAAAATATGAATTGAGTTTGAATCCAATTATTTAATATCTCATCTTATTAGGGCATCTCCAATGCATCTCCAAAGTAGAGAAAATATCTACTTTAGAGATGAATTTCAACTCCAGTCCATCTCTAGAGTAGAGTCTGGAATGTGGAGATGCTACAGTGATACTCTACATGTAGCGCAACTCTGTGGCCCATCTCTAGAGTAGAGTATGATTTTTTGTTTTTATTTATTTTATTTCATCTTGAGAGTAGAGATAGAGATGTTGTAGATTAGAGATGAGGGGTGGAGATGGTCTTAAATGAATTGATAATTAATATTATAAAAATTAATTTTAAGTCCACTAAATAGTATGTTAAGAACACATAGTCCTATTATAAAATAGACCCTTACTTCAGTTCTCTCCATGCTTTGCAAGCTTCAGTGAAAGAAAGCGGAAATAGAATATACATATAAACATCGTAGTCGTAGTTCAAAAGAGAGCGCTTAAGGACGGTCAACAACAATGATTAAAGATAGTGCCGATTTGTCAGCTACCAATCGTTCGAATGAAGTTATTCGGATTTTTATTTAAATATAAGTATAAATATTTATAATATTACGATGCTATTTGATTCCAATAAAAATTTTAAAATATACGAATTTTATTATATGACTCAATTGGATTACGGCTCTCCCTCTTTTAACCTTTCCTTTGCATTATGAATACCACTGAAAATTTGTACGTATATATTCACTGCATTGCACGTGTACGGGGCACCACACGAGTTCCAAATAGACAACAAAAAACCAAGACTGAATGATCATGTAAACATAAACGAACACACGCTTAGAGGATGACGGATATATATAGATAGTGATAATTCAAGAATGAGTTAGAAAAGTGGAGGTGCAAGGCATGCAAAGGAATCTTATCGTATAATAATTTTGCCTTAAAATTATAAACATGGTGTCGGGTAAAAACACTGAGAATGGAGGCTCCTTAATCACTTTTGATTAGCGTGGATAAATGGAAATTATAATAATATTGAAATATTTTTTGTACTAATTAAATTTATTATTTCATAATTTTTTTCCTTAAAATATATTTTTAAGTCCACTACTTTAGAACATCTCACGGAACTATAAAAGTCTGAAACTCAATAAGAATACGCAGGGGGGTAGGTGTTCCGTAATCATGCAAAAACCAAAAAGAATATATGCTTTCAAATCCTGAGTTTAATTTGATGTATGTTTTGAATACGAGGGAGTTCAATGAATGTCACGGATATAGATAGATTCTAACAGCAAAGATAGGGTGGTAATGAGAGCCGAGCGTTTAACCTAAAACGTCCATCTTCGGATTGGGAAAAACATTCTTTGGTATCGAATCACCTAATAAGAAAGCGTTTGGGATTGGATAGAGGCAAATTTAGAATCTAAAGTAAGCAAAATTTTGGGTGGCATCAAATCTCCTAATCTCATCTTATCATCGTGACTAAACCTAGCTGTTGCCTGTTGTTGTTAACCTTGGACTTTGTCGTTCTGGTGAGAGACCACCACCCTACCCTCCACTCCTTCACTAGTGTTTTGCTCATGACCTGTTGTTTTCCCACATTAATTGAGAGATTTGCATTTAAAAAGCATCCCCGTGTTACAGTGCAAGTTATTTGGGGGAACTAGAAAAGGTCTAAGTTGCACCACTCGTGTGGGGCCCACTTTGCGTTTGAATTTGTTGCCTTAAATTTTCTTCTTTTGTTTCTAGTACGTTTGAAATCCCCTTCCGTGCTCAACCTTTAATATAGTGGGCCCACTTTGCGTTTGAATTTGTTGCCTTAAATTTTCTTCTTTTGTTTCTAGTACGTTTGAAATCCCCTTCCGTGCTCAACCTTTAATATACGATTTTGGTAAATTGTTAACGGTTTTGTTAATTTTTTTAATAAAATCGGTAAAAGATTATTAAAAATATTATCATTTTTATTTAAAATATTAATATTTTTTAATATTTCTGATAAAGTATTTAATAATAATAAAATTGGTAAAAAAAATAATAAAACTGGTATCACTTTATCAAATATGTTAACAAAATCAGTAAAACGCCAATAATAACAAAATCGATAGAAATAATAATATTTTCGATAATTTTTATCAATTTTATTAAAAAATAATAACAAAACCGATAATACACCTCCTTAACCTTATTGAAACACTGTAGTACGTGAGACTTTCCAATTCCCTTTGCTTCCCTCCCTTTTCTTTTTCTTGACCAATTCCGAGGAATAATTGTTTGTTTGCTTTCCTTTCTTATTTGGATGGATTGACTCAAAGTTCATTTGCATGCCATTTTCAATGTTAGGAAATAAAAGTGTTTTTATTTTGTCTTTTGTATTATACCAAATATAATCTCTAATATTTATCAAAATGATTATTTTATCTTTAATTTTTTTGTTTAGCATTTTAATCCCCCAATATTTTATTTTAAGATAAAAAACTTTATTTATAAATAAAAATTATTAATTAACACACAAGTAATACTTTAAAAGCAAAAAAATTATTTAACTTAAAATAAAACGTCTAAATACTAAATTTCCTAATTAATCTTCCTCAACTGTCATTTGCGGCAGTGGAGTCATTGAGCACGTCATTATGAGTTATTCTTGTCACTGGACTCATTTGTCTTTTCCATCGATGTCTTTTCTTTTCTTTTTGGAATTTTCCCTTATAAATATAAACCACCTTTCTCTTTTTGCGGCACAAATGATATGAGCATGCCATGCATCCATGCCACTAAACATATCTTTAATTCATGTAGTTCTCTTCTGCGTGTACATGTATAAAAAAAATGCCTTTTTTATTATTTTTTTGCTATTCTTAAAAGATAAATACGAAGAAATATTTACTCTGACATTGAATTCTCCGCTGTCGGCACAGTACCGAATAGGGATGGACACGGGATGTGATAGTCCGGATTTTTTTTATCTTCATTTCCATATGAAAATATATTATTTATATTTAATTTTATCCTATTTTGATCATTGTTAATTTTTTCCTATTTTGAACTCGTTTTAATCTTAGAATAAAACTTTAAATTCTATCCGACCTAATTCGAATATATTAATATTTTAATATAGTTAAAATGATATGTTTTATAATAATTTATTATTTTTATAATTAAAAATATCTATTTTTAATATTATAAAATAAAAATCTCTAAAACCTTAAATATGTTATATATATATATAAGGATAACATAATAATTTGTATTGGGTCAGATTATATCGATATTTTTTTATCTTAAATTCGATTTATATTGGGTCACGATTTTAAAAAAAAAAACTACTCTTAAAATTAAGTTTAGATCAAGAATCGTTAAATTCAGAAATTTTGACCATCTCTGGTCTCAGTATCCTCCATTCCCTGTTTACAAGAAAGAAAACAGGGAGCGGTCAATAGATTCATGCCGAACGTTGATGAATGCAGCCCACACATATAAGCCTTTAAACCAGAAGATAGGATAGGATAATAATTGTTTAGAATTTGAGAGTAAAAATAAGCGTCATATGAAGATAGGATAGGATAAAAGTTATTTGTATGTTAATGTTTAAGGTGGTTCAATTTTTTAATTTACCTTTACTATATTAAGATAATACATTTTTATTATGCTAAATTTATAATATTTTATATTATTAAAATTATAAATTATTCTCACAATAAGTTATACTTTTTATACGAAAAAAAATACAAAACATCTTCATAATAACATAATTTTTCCAATAAAAAAACACAAAACGTCCCATATAAAAATCACTATGACACTACATCTCCATCAATTCTCTTTAGTCCTTTCCTACCATATATTCATAAGATATATTATTTGATCAGAGAGAGAGAGAGAGAGAGAGTTATTACATTAAATATATTTAAAAATCAATTAATTTTAACTGGATATTATCAACTAAAATCTAAATCAATCTCTAATAATAATATATTAATTTATATAGATAAAGCTCACATCATAAAACCTTAAAAAAAACAGAAAACATATGAGAAAAACACGTCATTCGTTTGATCTTATGAAAAAGAAATATGGGAAGATTAAATATAATAATATATACAACCTTTAGTTTATCTGAGTTGACTAAGCCGTCGATAAGTTCACACCTCGATCACACTATCACACGAAGGTAAAATAGAAAGGTGAGAAATAAGAAGTTGCTAAACATGCAATCGGATCCACAAATATGAAAATATATATATTTATATTGTTGGCGAAACCCTATTCTTTATAATGATTAATGTTGAAATTATTATTAATTAGCATGTTATTTTATGCTTCCAAGCATGCACATGCCTCATTTTCACACTACTTAACGCACATATTGCAATGAAATATCAGGCACCGCATCAACTTAGACCCACTCTAAGCAATTGGACCTGCATGTAAAAAAAATAAAGTACTTATATTTCATAATCCAAACAACTTATGTAATTATTTTTTTTATTTTATAATATAAACTTATATTTATGAATATCTATTGACATACTAATAATTTATAAATTTATATTACTTATAAATTTTAGTATAATAAGTAAATCAAACGTTGAAAGTTAAAAAAATTAAAATAATAAATTTTATTATAAAAACATTAAAAAAAACTATCTAAATTATTATATTTTTGGTAATAACTATATAAATTATTTGCCATCTATAAATAAAATTTTTATATATTTAATAATATTTAAACACATCTATTTATATTTTAAAAAAGAAATAATAATAATAATAATAATCGAGTTAAGGTTCATTATCTCGTGTGAGTATTATATGATCTTGCATATGCTTAATACATATATATGGATAGTTTATCATGTTCGCATTTTATTTTATTTTATCATGTTTCATTAAAGGGTAAATTACACCATTACTCCCTTGACTCTACTCTCTTCCCTATTTTACTCATTATATTTTTAATTTCGCTTAACCTCAACACTGTGAGTCCAAATCTAACCTCCATTTTGTTGGAACTAACTCCAAAATCCACGATTTTGAGATTGAAAGTGAGGAAGCCGAAACATTTTAATCAAGATTCACAGGGTTTGAGATATTTTCTGGTGAAATAACCACCATATTCAGACTCAGAGGGTCGAGACTAACCGACCCATGATATTTGGGATCGAACAACCACCATCAACGATGCTGGACGGTGGCAGGAATGAAAATGGCGTGGTGGCTGGCAACATTTCTTATGCCATGTCATAACACCGTTAAACAATTAACTAGAGAGTGAGCAAAATGATTAAATCTGTAAAGTTCAATAAGCGAATTAAAAAAATTAAAAATATAGTGAGAAAAATAAGAGAGAGATGTAATTAACCCTTCACGAAATAAAAAATGGGTTCCATCTTAAGTGTATCGTTTCCCATTTCCTTATTTAATACCACCCCCACTACTCTCCCCTGCAAAACACCACCTCTCCCTACTCTCTTTTCAGTTTTCACTCACAATCTGATCTCTTTAGTTATTCTCCATCTTCTTCTTATACTTCTACTTCTTCACTCATCCTTCTAATTGTATTATCATCTCCAAGGGAAAGCATACAAAAGTTAAAGTAGGGGTGAGCTCTTTTTTTCGTTTTGAAAGTGCAACTATTAAAATCTAGTGAGAGAGGGCAGTCCTTTATATTCCTAGGACATATATATATATACAGAGAGAGAGAGAGATGAAGGAGAGTGGGAGGAAGCAGGGAGTAGCATCACCATGCGCAGCATGCAAGCTTTTGAGGAGAAGGTGTGCCCAAGACTGTGTATTTGCTCCTTATTTTCCTGCAGGTGAGCCCCAGAAGTTCGCTAATGTGCACAGGGTGTTTGGTGCTAGCAATGTCAACAAGATGCTCCAGGTTCCAATACCCACCATTTATATATGATATTACCTTATTAAAATGCCTTCGGGAGCTCCTTCATGAATATTCCCACCCAAGTTTTAACTTGATGACAATAATTCTCGTTTAAACCATGGGAAATTAATGTTATTTCATAAAAAGGTTTTGATGCTTTCTTTTCGTCAGTTTAATTAGATGCTATGTTTTGTTTAAGATTAAACCTTACCAAGATTAATATAATAACAGTTCTTGTCCTTATATATGCAGTTTCCTTATCGTAACAACACAGTTCTTGTCCTTATATATGCAGTTTCCTTATCGTAACAACAAATTCCCTTATTTTCTTCTTCAAGTTCACACTGGATTTATGAGGTCCCAGCTAGAAACTCAAACTCCTCATACATTGAATGAAGAACATTTGAGAAACAAGTTTATTTATTAAAATATATATGAATAGTACTTTTTGTTTGCTTATCTTTTCTTCTTTCTGCTTAAATTTCTAAGTACTGTTCACAGATCACGTGAAGATGTTTTTCTAGGTGCTTTTCTCAGTGAAATTACATAAAATTGATTTTTTGACAATTCCTTTTTACGGCTTGAAAATAGGTATACGAGGCTATCCCTCCAAATAGCAAAGTTGTCTTTTCACGTAAGAGTTCCATTCAGATTAAAATAATAATTAATGAAGGCTTGAGCACCAAAATCAAACAATAGAATATATGAATTATTTTAACATTATTTACAAAATAAAATATATAAAGACGAGCTTACTTTAAACTTTAAAGTAACCTATTTTGGACTTTCGCCAAATTCACTCGCACATAGAAAATGATGCAATGGAAAGATGTTTAAATGATGTCACCATTAGCTCATATCACCCTGGGTTTCTTGCCCATGGGCCTGTACTTCGCTCCATACCTTGTTACGGATGATTATTGTTGTTTTCCCTCCCTCCCTATTTTGCCCTGCAAACTGACCGAATTAAGCTATCGAACTTGCAGGAACTACCGGTGCATCAACGGGGCGACGCGGTTAGTAGCATGGTGTATGAGGCCAACGCCAGAGTACGTGACCCGGTTTACGGGTGTGTCGGAGCCATATCAGTACTACAACAACAAATAGACACCCTTCAAACTCAATTGGCCCTAGCACAGGCAGAGGTGGTGCACCTCCAGGTGAGGCAGACCACATCGTTTCCACATCGTGGGTTCGGCACTGGAAGCCCAAGTAACAGCGGGTCACCCTCATCCAGGTTCATGGGTTCACAAGATAAGACCAGTTTTGACATAAATATGATAGTTGACCAGGGTAGCTTGGGAGAGTCAATGTGGTCATGCTAGCTTAATTATACCACATACATATATGCTACATTTTTGTCACCCTATGCTTAGTTTCCCTCTTATTATTATCCCTACATCATTTTATATACAGCAATGACAAAAAGAGAGGCGGTGGTGATAGTGGTGGCGCCGCGGTGACCACGGTGGTTGTTAGGGTATTTAGCTTTGGTTTGAAAAGGGTCTTTGTCATCAACTATATATAATGCACATGCATAATTTTAACTTTATATACGCGGATTTGGTATGAATATATTTTAAATAATGATATCAGTTGATGATTTCGATTAAATTTAAAATTCTAGTTCGATAAAGTTATTTATACAATATCTTATTTTATCTTTAAAATATAGTAATAACTTTATGGTGTTAGTTTACCTACCATATATAGCATGTCAACACCATTATATGAAAATCTTTTAATCTATTGATATTTGGGAAGGCTTTTCATTGGCTTAACTCATGATCTTACTTAAAAACACTCGACATTTTCAACTCAAAATGTAAAGTGGGAGCATCCCATTGGATCGGTTGATAGAAATTTCAATGCAAAACCAATGACTTAGGAAAGTATATGTATTTGCTGGTAATAGGAAAAGTCCAGCAATAATTGTCATTTATATATAATAAAATCCATTCTGGTGCTTGGATTCAGATCACATGTAAAATCTCTATTCTTATTTTCATATTACAGCCTCTTCTGTTAAAGAAAAAAAAACGTCATTTGTCAATTGTCAAGCATGTGATTTAACATAATTGAGTTGCTCGAAGACAATATAATTACATCAAGCAAGAATCCTTTTTTGACATTAATTCTTTTGGTTCCCCGACATTAACATTAATCAAACCCATAATCATGATCCATGGAAGCTGCTGCATCTACCAAAAGGACAGAAAGCTTGGAGTGGTTAACGAGTCTAACGCATATATGCACTCTCTTATGTAGACTTGTTACCAACCTGCTAATAATTAATTCCTTTCCCTTTCAATCAATTAACAACATATACCGGAAAGAAGAAAAAAAGAATAAAGTGTTAGATATGTGGTGCTGTCAAATAATGCAACTTGGGATTCCACAGAAAGTCAAACCCCTAAACCAGTCATTTACATATCCAGTAGTAATCTGTAGCAGTGCTGTTCATGTTTGTGTTTAAACTCAACATCTTTTTCATTATTCAACCAAGGCATCATTCATTTTTATTACAAAGTCTTAGGTATCACTGTTGTTTTCTTTGCATTACATTTTTAAAAAATCTTATGATGAGACTAAAATAGCCATGGTTATTTTCATGATTGATTAAATGGTCATAATTGTTAATGTTGAATTGCAAAAGCAAGAGAGGTGATTGGCCCTGGAACAATGGAATCAAAATTTTTTTGAAGGGGCTTGCCAAGAGTGAGGTAAATTTGTCAAATGTTTAAACGAATTAACTAACCTTAAGTCAAATTACTATGAGCTATTTTTTTTAACAAATGTTGACAAAATTTGCAAAAAATCAAACACACCATTACTGGTTTCCTTTTGCTCCCCTTAGGGTTACCAAGAGTGAAGTGGTTCCACCGGTTTTGAAATGGGAAAATAATGAAGGATTGGTCCATCCCCATTCTCTCAAAGAAAGAAAGTTTGGGGTTGGTGGGAGGCACTGACCATTGTGTTCTATAATTCAAATTACTCTCTCATCATGTCCCTTTTCTATGACTTAGACAGGCTAATTAACTTATATATGAACCCACATTATATTTGGACTATAAAGTTTAGATGATTATGAATTTAAAGAGAGATTCCATCTTTTGTCCTATGTCATCAAGTGAACTCTGGGGAAAAAAGAGGACATTTTTCATGCCTAAGGTGCAGTTTAGGTTTCATTTTAATAAAATATCACAATTTTATACATTATTAGTGTTATCTTTTTTGCTTGCTCTCGAGGACGTATAAGGGGTGGCCGAACCAAGATATGGGAAGCGAGAATGATGAAGGCCCAGTGGTTTTATGTAGTGATCCAAAATCAATGTGGATTATTCCGAGGTGAAAGGGAAAAATATTGTAAATTGTATGGTTACCACTTCAGGGCTAAAAGAGACGGGCAAGCATGGGCTAACAACGAGAAACCAAGTTTGGCAACGTGTTCGAATATCAACCAAAAGACAACTTATTTCCACATTAATTTCTTTACTAACATGAAGGAACAAACAATGCCTGAGCCTAGCCGAATACGCATCGCTGCATTTTGAACCCGAATACATCTGGAAGAAGAAAGTTTCTTTTTACTATTCAAAGGGTTTTGGTGATTAAACGTCTAAACTGTCAGTTAAACATTTCAGGGTATTCAAAGATTCCTGCTTGTAACATGAAATTTGGATAATAACGACTGAACTGGAAAGAAAAATCAGATCCACGTGTTTAACGCTAGCAAGCATTACATAAAATATTAAAGAAAACTTTACATAAAGTACAAGAAAAATTTGCAATACGCCTCTTTTCCATAAACAGTCGGGTCTATGTTTGTTTTCACTGTACAACCTTTTCAAATCTTTTATGTCGTCGCGCAGGTTATGCGTAGACATTAAGTTTCGTAGACTGTTTATTTTTTAGAAGATAAAAATTCTTCTAACGTCTGCGCGAGCTCTTCTTGATGCAAATATGATTTTATGTCTTCAAAGGTCTTTAAACATCTTCAAGAATAATTATAAAATATGGTTATTTATTAAAATAATTTTAAATAATTTAATAAGGTTATTTATTTTAAAATAAATTATTATAAAATAATTTATTTTAAAATAAATTATTATAAAATATAGATTGATTTATTTTAAAATAATTTATTTTAAATAATTTATTAGTATAGATTGATTTATTTTAAAATATCGATTGATTTATTTTAAATAATTTATTAGTATGAATTGATTTATTTTAAATAATTTATTACTATGGATTGATTTATTTTAAAATATGGATTGATTTATTTTAAATAATTTATTATTGTATTTGTATTAATTATTTAAATTTCAGTATTGTAAAACTAAAATTATTTAAATCTCAGTATTACTAAATTCTTTTAAGTTTAAAAAATCAGTTTATTTATATTTCAGTTTATTTTAGCAGTCTGCGGACGTTAAAAAATAAACAGTCTTCTTCTTGCAGATTGCAGACTTTTGGTCCACCTCTTCTGATGCATACAAATGTAGTCCGCAGACTGCAGACATATTACCTCTGTAAAATCAAACATCACCTCAATCTAAAGCGATCCCATCCTAGTCGTCGTCCATTCAATCACTGTGTAGCCAGAAGAAATCAGATGAAATCAAATCAAACAGTCATAATGTTAAATGCTTTGTTTATGCATTCAATCACAGTAAACATATACAATTTATGTTTATACAATACCCTTTCGTTTTATTTCATGATATTCACAGGACATTGAGGACAATAAGACAACCTTCATAGTTCAAGTTAAGATACAATATTTTGCCCAAATTATAATGATATTATTGTTATAAAACCATTAATAAAGAAATTGAAGATAGGAAAAGGAGAGATGCAGACCTGAGGAGATTAGACGTCCTACAATAAGACAACCTTCATAGTTCAAGTTAAGATACAATTTTTGCCCAAATTATAATGATATTATTGTTATAAAACCATTAATAAAGAAATTGAAGATAGGAAAAGGAGAGATGCAGACCTGAGGAGATTACACGTCCTTGACAACAAGGTCACCGTTCACGAGCTCTCTGTAGGCAGCAACAGGCCAAATAAAGCCTCTGAAGATGAGACTAGTAGCCAAAGGCACATCGATGATGATCTCCTTCATGGCCGGCTTCTTTTCATCGCTTATAGCAATGATATAGCTCCTTCCGACCCACCCGATCCATCCGGCGATGTACAAGAACAACACCCCGGGAGTGATGAACTCACCCCAGTGCCTCTGGTCGCCGCTCACTATCAAATGAGGCAACCCATCTGAGCCGCAAAGCAGGCCGTACTTGGTTATTGTCGAAGCGCCTCTTGGTTTTCTCAATGGTTGCTTTGATGGCGAGAGCCGGTGCGCTGTCGGGGGCGTAAAGCTTCAACGATGACTCCAGCTTCTTGATCTGCTGCTTCTCGCGCTTGGCGAATTGCTTGGACTCTTTGCATGGAGTGAGCCCCGAAATGTCAGTAACAGCGGGAAGCGGAGCTGAAAGGAGAATTGAAGAAAGAGCGAGAGCCGCTGAGAAGGCTTGGAGTGGTGAAGCGGATTTATCGGAGGAGGAGCATACGATCAATGATCTTGATGAAACCTTGGGGGTAACTTGGGAGTTCAGCTTTGGCTTCAAAATCGATTTTGAGAGATTAGTTGGGATTGTAAGAGACATCTTATGGTCTTTCTTCTGTGTTTTAATTTTTTTTTCTGGTGTCTTCTTTATTAAGGATGAAGAAAGAGTAGGATGGGATTTAGATTCAGGTGAGGGAGGAAGTAGTGGTGGGAAGAAGGATAAGGAAGCTGAGATGGATGGTTGTGATTGGTTAACTGATGACTTGGTTGTCAGTTTCAGATTCTGTCCTATATCTTCTGAAATTTTGGACAAAACTCAAAGTAGTGTGGTTAGTTCGGGCTAAATTACATAACTGACATCGTTTGTTTTTAATTTTATTTTTCTAACACCGTTCGATCAATATTTTCAAAACTAACACTCTTTCTGAGTTTGGCAAAGGTGCGTCCCCGGGGACGCGCTTTACTCGTGTTTTCGCTGATTTGGATGCCACGTGTGAAAGGCGCGTCCCCGGGGACGCGCCTTTGCCATATTAGCAGACACGTGTGGAAGGCGCATCCCCGGGGACGCACCTTCCATTAAATATCATAAATGCCCCCATCCGTTTTTCCTAACTACCCCTCCTCCTCCCCTATATAAACCCCCTCAACTCTCACTCATTCTTCACACCAAAATCATCTCTCCTCTTATAACCAAATTCTCCAACTGTTTGAGTTTTAAATTTTATTAGTGGTAAAAAATTTATTTTATGTATTTTTTAAATAGTTATTATTTTTTATATTACTATATTATGTAAATATTATTTTTTTATTAAATAATATTTATAATTATTATTTATTAGAATTATTAATTTTTTGCTAATTATATTGTTTTGTCTACAGTTATAATGGAAAAACGAAATGCTGTTGCGATTGGATA